ATATTTAAAAAATAGCACCTCAATTTCTTTTATTCTTGAGTTTTGATTTCTAAAATCGTCCCTTAATAAAATATTTCCCACCACTAATTGAATATCCAGTATCTAAAGACAATTCGTCCACAATTTGTAATCCTATTTTAAAAATTAGTTTGATATAATTTACTTATCAGAAGGAATATAAACTTTTTTGCGTTTGACTAGATTTTGAGATATTAATAGAAATTTTGAAATATCTTTAAGATACTTCCCTGGTCTGAAGGACTCTTTTGTCCGTGAGTGAAACATAATCCTGTGGCAAGTTGCAACGATAGATACTCCTTTAATAGATTGTAAAATGAAACAATCTGCTGAGGTTGTCTTTGGAGATTATCTATTCTGCAACGAAGACTATTAAGTTAGCAATGTCTGTTGTGATGCACAGTATTGAATGAGCAGATCGTATCTTTCTACAATCTACACAATAGTAATTGTAAGAGTATAATTTATACATATTAATATCTCAGAAACTAAGATACAACCGAAGCGGAAATTTTATATCCGGGACACTCTTCCCCTTTCCGTTAACTACAGTTAAAAACTGTTCAACTTTATAATTATATATAATCACTGTTATAATTTTTTAACAATTTCTGTAAAAAAGATTATTAAATTCCTTTTAAACAATTAATTCCCTAAAATAATATTCAGCCGCGAATGATATTGCATTGCAATAATAATATTCGAAGAGCTCAATGATACGTGAAGCAGCAAGAAAAACAGCCTTTGCCAGGTGCAACCTTAAGCGCCGATGAAATTGAAATCGTGTTATATTTACACAGATGTCTAATTATTGGATCGGTGTATTTATTAAGCCGTCCGTGCGTACTTGTTACACGAGGTCTTCGATATTCCCATTTTTATTTCACACAATATTAAAAAATTATGTTCTCAGAAAAAAAAATTATTTTACTTACGAACTTACGATAATATCTTTATAATATTCGAAATTATTTTTATGTGAAACATGCATTTTTTGCATCGGCTACCGATAATTCTGTTTGCGCTTTCGAAGTCTTTATTTTATCGCAACGAATTTAGATTATCTCCATATGTTCGCTTTGCATTCGTTGAACAATTAGTATGAATAAGTACAGACTGTTGCCGATTCGTATAAAAAAGTATGAAGGCTAGCACTAATTTTTCTTTCGCGAACCGTGAGATACGTTTCTGTTCACTGTACGTACTCGGTATATAAAGGAGCGCGAAGCCGTCGGTTTCTTTCAGTTCCGCGGCATACCGTGAAACGTGCTCGTATATCTAAACAACAGTTGATTAATTTTATTCTACGGGTACTTCGTTCAACATGTAATTGGGCTTGTCGCTAAAATTGTTCGCCGCGAGGTGAGGGGGTACTTTACACTTATAAAAGCGACGAGATCGACGGCGAAGGATTTTCTCACAGTTCACCACGTGATATAAAAATACGGTGAATAATTTAGATTTTAAATTACAGTAATTCACTTGACAGATTACTTCACGGTGAAAGCTATTCCTTTCATTTAAACGAGCAAACATTTCACGACTTCGAAAGATAATTGAAGTTCAGAATAATAACGATCAACTTCTTTAGTAATCGTACATTTTTGATCGTTCTGTTTGGTATTCAGTAACTTGCGATGGCCTTTGACGCGATGGAGAAGAAGAAATGGCACCCGAAGAGTGGGCAGATAAATAAGTTCATCAAAAAACGAATACCCATCGTTGGGTGGTTGCCGAATTATAATACCGAAAAGTTTCTGAACGATGCGATCGCCGGCGTCACCGTCGGACTTACCGTGATGCCGCAAGGACTCGCTTACGCTACTTTGGCTGGCCTGGAACCTCAGGTGAATATAATTCCGAATATATTTCCGAAATAAGACTCGCGATTAATAATAATCGAGTATTTCTGCATGTCGTTATAGTATGGCTTGTATTCTGCATTCATGGGGGCAATGGTGTACATAGTATTCGGTTCATGCAAAGATATCACCATTGGGCCCACTGCACTCATGGCATTGATGACTCATGAATACGTACAGGGTAGGAATGCCGATTTCGCGATACTGCTAGCCTTTCTTTGCGGTTGCTTGCAACTATTAATGGCTTTCCTACGGCTAGGTATGAAATACTATTTTAATTATAATATCATTTAAACCATTTTCTAAACTGATCGCTTTTTTTACATAGGAGTACTTATAGACTTCATTTCCATACCAGTTACCGTCGGTTTTACTTCGGCAACGTCTGTTATAATCGTCGTTTCTCAACTGAAGGGACTTCTAGGACTGCAAATTTCTTCCAAAGGATTTTTAGATACTCTAATAAAAGTTTTACAGAATATTCACAAAACCAATCCTTTTGATACTGCGATGAGTTTTTCCTGTATCATTATTTTACTATTATTCAGGGTAAAAGCGATAGTCTGTTAATATTCAGTTTAACTAATTATAAAAATAAACACGATTATCGTTTATTTTCCAGAAAATGAAGGATATCAAATTATGTTCGAATAACGAGAAAGCAAACAAATATCAGAGGGTACTGATGAAGATGATATGGTTAATATCAACGGCGAGGAACGCCCTGATCGTGATCGTCTGCTCCGCCATTGCGTACAAGCTTAGCTCACCGGAACATGGCTCTAGTTTTATACTCACTGGTCCTGTAAGATCTGGTCTTCCGCCTTTCGGTCTGCCGCCTTTCTCCACACAAATGAAGAATCAGACGTTGAACTTCATCGAGATGTGTTCAGAATTGGGCGCCTCGATAGCTTTGGTGCCTATAATCGGTGTCCTTGGGAATGTGGCAATTGCCAAGGCATTCGCGAACGGTGGCAAAGTGGATGCCACGCAAGAACTAATTACGTTAGGAATTTGTAACGTGCTGGGCTCTTTTGCAAGCGCGATGCCGGTCACCGGATCGTTTAGTAGATCCGCAGTGAATCACGCCAGCGGTGTAAAAACGCCAATGGGTGGTCTCTATACCGGAATATTCATATTGCTAGCGCTCAGCCTGCTCACTCCATATTTTTACTTCATACCGAAAGGTATCCGTCGTTTATTCGTTCCATTTGTACGCATGTTAACATGTTACATGAACGTCGTTCTTTTTTTAGCTTCGTTATCTGCAGTTATTATCTGCGCGGTGATATACATGATTGAATATCAAGTCGTCAAGCTCATATGGAAAACGAATAAAAAGGATTTGATTCCGATGCTTGTTACGTTTATATTCTGCCTGATTATCGGTGTTGAATACGGAATTTTACTAGGTGTAGGGACGAATCTCATATTCTTATTGTACCCCTCCGCGCGCCCTACGATACACATCGACAAATGCACGGTGAGTGATCAACGGTAATAGAAGAGTAAAGTCTTTAGTTACTGTCCGAAGATACGAATTGTGTATATTTTAGACTAGCTCCGGGGTTGATTACCTGTTAGTGACGCCGGGAAATAGTTTGTATTTCCCTGCCATTGACTTTATCAAGAAATCGGTCGGCAACGCTGGCATAAAACAAGGTTCTAGTCAGATACCAGTCGTAATTGATTGCAGATATATTATAGGAGCCGATTTTACCGCTGCTAAGGTAAGAATATTCTAAATCAGATAGCGAAATAACGAACGTTATCTATGTGAATAATTCGTTGTTACAGGGCATAGCGACACTAATACATGAATTTAACAATCGGAAACAAGGTCTGTATTTTTACAATCCTCGCTCGGACGTCGTTGCCGTGCTTAAAGGAGCATGCGAAGAGGAATTTCGGTACATCTCCACTCAAGACGAATTATCGTACTTGTTATCGACGTGTCAAGGTGACGGGAATGCACTTAACCGCGTCGAATTAAGATATTCAATATTCGATTATATTTTATAATCTATTTTTCTCTCTTTTTTTAGATAAAACGTCGCAACAACTTTTGGAAACAACGCGTGACAAGTCGCACGAACCTTTGATGCTGAGTATACCAGAAATCATTCATCGGAACAGTCGCTCGTGCCAAGAACTTAATGAAGTTACAACCACGTTGTTACACGCTACGGCTAGTTAGTTAATAAATACGATTCCCGATTCATTTAACCGTCTCTCGTAATATCTTTACATCCGTCATCCGTTGACTTCGCACGTCATTAAAATAGTGGCACACAGATCAGTGTATATACGTTATTCAGTATTATTCAAATACATGGAAGAATATGAAATCCACAATTAATCGTGCGACACGAGTTAATAATGTAAATATACTATGAATTTTTGTATACAACTTGGAAAAATATATTTCTTTTTTTCCCCCCTTTTCTTACAATTGTCTTGTATACCAGTGAGAAATAAATAATTAATATATTTTTAATAGCTACTTGTGTTATTATTTATCTTGGTCTTAACTTTCCTTGTAATTAGACATTACTCTTATCGCGTAATTAAGATAATATTTTTATATACACTTTGTGTACGTTTAAGTGTTCACAAATTACAGTCGTTTTTTTAGCGTAGTTAGACAGATAAGTCCTCGCAAAGAAAACAAGTATATTGCACAGTGTAATTGGTCCATCACCAAAATCATTATCTTCATACTAAAAACATATGTGTTTACCAGAATTAACGACCGTACTAATTACAAAATAAATAATTCCGCGAATTGACCAATAATACTTGTTAATATTGCACCGAAGTAACGTGACTGCGATAACTATTCAAATGATATCCCGCTTCAATTTATACATATATTAGCTTGTATTCGAATGCATAAGAAAAGATATGAACTATCTGCAAACTGATTAATTATTGAATACTTGAAAAATTTGTACAAGAATATGTTCCGATGTATGATACAATATCCAGTGAATTGAACATATATATACTTTAATAAAGTCCTGAAACAACATCAGTGACTTTACCCCGATTTCCAACCGCGGAAGAAGTCGTGTTCCTTCGTCCAATCGGATTTTCCTTCATCTGCTGCTTCCCTGAATACTTCCCGGCGTTGAACCGAGTCTTTCCAAGCCCGAACGTGTCGTACGTCCGGCCAGCGAATATTCCCGAGTCCATCGACTTACTCGCGAACCTGTTACCCATATTATCATTATGGCAAAACGAATTATGCCTCACACCGTTCTTCGTCAGTATCGTCGGAGTGCGATCTAAATTGAACTCGTTATTCCTCCTGGCAGAATTCAATTCGTTCCACTCGCGATTTCTCTGTTCCTCGTACAATTCATCGCTCCTTAACTGTTTGTTGTTTACGTGCGAAGAATAAAATTCATCGCTCTTCAAATGTTTGCTCCTCGATTGCTCCTTCCTGGACTTCGATCCGGGTTCGCAGCAGCTTTTGGTATCGTCTAATCTATTCGATTTCGATCTGGCAAGCGTCCTCTCGTCCTTCTTCGTCTTCACGTGGTACTTGCTCGAGTTCCACTGATTCTTTTCTTGCGTGATCACGATGTCGACCATAGAGTCCAAGCCCTCGTCGATTCGGTCCAAAGATTTAGTCAGCAAACTCGGAGACTTCGGTGCGTCGATGGATCTCGGCCTTCGCGTTACCAGAGGCTCGAGGTTGAAGTCTGTCACGTAAAACAGGCCGCTGTCGCTCCCCCCTTGTGTCGAAGGGCACTGATCTTTTCTCGAAACGTGCGAAACGTGGTGAAACGACTCGGACCTACGCATCTTGCTCCTCGAATTCTCATCCGTGAACAAATGTTCTCGTTTGCTCAGATTCTCGGAGCTCTCGTGTCTCCCGCAGCTCTGGAGGCTCCGATGGTCGTCGAACGAGTTCAAACTTTCGAATTTCCTGATCTGATTCTCCACTCTGCTCCGGTTCGACCTTTTCGAACGCGGACTGGACGCGCTCGATTCCAGGTAATCGTGACTCGCCGATCTACGCAGCTGCTTCCTCTTTTCCACCTCACTCCTGTACTTGTGCCTCTGGGAAAATCCATCCTGCCTGCTGGATTTCAACTCCGTCTTAGTCTTACTGTAAGACGATTCGTAATTCCTGATCGTCTTCCTGTTCTTTATTTCACTTTCACTGAAGTATCGGAGATCGTCGTAGCTCTTTTTTAGTTTATCACTAACACCGCTTTCGGTTTCTTTTCTCGGACAATGCTTCTGGAAGTGATCGATATCGCTCCTGACTGGCTCCTCGTAAGCCTGACTCTTCCCGTTGTATTTCAAACGAGAAGCACTAAGGAGGGAATCGCTACCGTCGCCTAACGTTTCCTCTTCGATGTCCTCGTCGTGGGAGTTGGACACGTCTTCGTGATCGACGAAGTCACCGCGTCTCACTGCCATAATAGCGGATAGACACGGTGGTGATCGTCTAGGCGGTTGGGGGTGTAGAATAGTCGGTACGATCGCCTCTTCAATGTCAGGGCCCTTCACAACAATCTTCACGCTACCGTCCACCGACGACTTCGAGAGTCTTCGCGATTCCATATTCGTCCTTCTGCCACCGCTAGAATCTGTGCTGTAATCGCGATCGTTCCCAAAGTACGTCACTTGTTCTCCTTTGATCATGCTCTGCGACGCGTTCGAACCAGCGTTCGACTTTGGCATCTTGTTATCTCTCTTCATCACCTTGTCGTACACATAAATGTCCCCGTTGTTCAATGACATCTTCGAGCTCGACCTGTGCAATTGCGTTTTCGACGAGTCTTCGTTATAGAAATTCTGATCGATTCGATTTTGTTCGGTCCGGTTCTTGTCGCCGATCTCCTCCTCCGCGTCCTTTACGATGATCCGCAGCTCCTCGATCACGTCGTCGATCGTCGTCTCCTGGTCGTTGTCCGGCGACGCGTTCATCTTTTGGTGACTCGTCCGCGACTGATGCTTCGTGTTCTCTGGGCTGCTCGACCTCTCAGAGGAGCTGATGCCCTCGTCCTCGGCGTTCGAGGAAACCTTCGGCGATTGCTTCGTGCCGAGCACCGTCATCTTCTCACGGTCCTCGAGGTTGTAATTGTTCAGCTTTTCCAATTGCAGCTGCTGAAGCTGCGACTGCAGGGCCGATACCTTTTTGCCGAGGATCCTGCAGGTTTCCTCGGCACGTACGACTCTTCGCTGCAGGGCGTCCACGTCGACGCAGTTGTGGGCCCATTTCTGAACCTCCTTATGTAGAAGATCGTGCAACGCGTCCTCCTCCCTGCCATCCAATTCTTTCAGCCATTCTTGAAGGACCTGCGGCTCTAGTCCAGCTTCGCAGGCTTCGGCCTAACGATCAAAAACAAACATCCGACTTTAATCATCAAAGAATAATTTCTATTTTAGAGGAACTAAACATGAACAGCAATTAAGATCAAGAGTTTTATCTCGTAATTGCAACTACTCACTTGAATATATAATCTGGTTTGCGTCCGTGGTGCAGATTTCAGAAAAGCGTTCAGGAAAGTGACTCCTGCGACTCTCAGTGCAATCGCTGCTCTGGGAGCGAGAAGCGCACCGGCCAGGAACCGGAATCTTCCACCTTCGCCATATTTCAACCTGAGCGTCGAAACGGCCTCCGAAACCGCCGCGTGTCCACCCGGTATTTGGCAAACCTTAGTGAGTAACTAGAAGGATCGATAAATTAATTAAATCTCACGGACAATGATCTACTTTCAAGTTCGCAGGTAAAAATCCGAATGTATCAAAAAGCTATTTAGTTCAACATATTCATCCTTCATAATAAGGCTCAGCCAAGATTGAGTCAAAGTTACTCGGTAATTAATCGTTACGGCCGAAGTAAGAATTGCAGATTTTCGTAGTAGGTAACTAAGTAAATCTCGCCGACAGTTTCACGTCGCGTCGGCTGAGATACCGATCTCCTCATTCTCATTATATTCTTTCAACGTTCTGCCTCTCTGTGTGATCACGTGCCGTGGATTAATTAGCCAGTTCGGTTAGTCAACATCTGATCGTAACCGCGATGCTTGCCAAGGTGCGCTCCCTCGGTGTACATAGAAGCAGCGTGCAAAGAAAAAAATTTACAGAACCGCGCGTATGCCTGAGTTTGCAAATGTCGGCCGAATAACGTTTGGATAGACGATAAAAACTGGTTGCCCGCTTGGTCCCTTGAAATAACGGGGCCCGTCAACTGGACCGCGTTTGCTGGAACCGCGGTTACGTTTACGACTATCTCAATGGGTCAACCCGTAAGCACTTTGCCAATTACCAGAAACCTGACCCACTTGTTATTTCACGCATCGTTTAAATAAAACGCATCCTGAGAGACCGTGATCGACATAATTATCCAACATAATTTAGATTAAACTACGAAAGACAGGCCGTGATCTAACCGTCTATTTATAGAACTACGTAATTGCGTGATAAATACATGAAACTGAACATTAACGAGACTGAAAATATAAATAATTTCTCGAGATTAACTCAAGTAGAGATAACGTATAGTCAGCGTCGTTAATGTTACCATGAAGATAGTGGAGGAATTATAATTTCAGTGAAGCGCGATTCCAGCTGAACGTTTCTTTCATTAACAGTGCCCATTCGCGGTAACGGAAGTGACGATTGTTACCTGAAGAGCGAGGACTCGAGACCGGTTCAAGCTACTGGTCAGGCAGACTGCCAGGGCGAGGAGGCCGGGCTGCGCCTGCACCAGGAGCCTCGGCGCGTCGGTGCATCGTTCGGTGCAAGCGGCGAGGCACTCGACGCATCCGAGCTCGTCCAACGCGGCCCTCCTCGTGCCGACCCTCGGACCAGTATGACCGGAAGAAGGTGGCGAGCTTTGGGCCAGCTGAACGCCGCGCAGCGTCTCCAGCAGCAAGGTGATCCCATCGGCCGGCGGTGACGAGAATTCCTGAACGAAACTGGAAAACGAGTTTCACGTTACTATTTAAAACGAGGAAGAATTCCTCCTCCCGGTGACGCAATCTTATCACTGTTATTATCCAACCGGGGCTCGACGTTCACCGTAAACATGTTACTCTGCATGCCATTCACAATTCTTTTCTCGTACTATCGGCCTCTGAATTTTTTCACGCCAACATTGTTCGAAGTCCCGGCGTCTTTGCCGATGGTTAATGAAGCCTGAATCATTAGCGAGACATTTTAATGGAAATACCAGAGATCGGTACACGTACGAGGCCGGGGCGACTGCATTCCCGAATTTTTGCCCGGTCCGGAAGCACCGGTAACGGTACGGACGCGCGCGTACTAGCCACCGAAGGAAACGGGGCACACGCGTAACAAGCATTGAACCTCCGACAGGGTTAGGAAAAAAAAAAGTATAATTACATAATTATGGGACCCCGCGATCGACGGAAAAACTCAATCCGGTTTTGTAGCTCCGCGATGGCGAGCGAGTTCCTTTGAGCTTGTCAACGGAATCGTTGGAAGAGTGATGGCAGCAAGAAACCGATAACTATTAATGAAATATATACATTGAGAAGGGGAGGGAGGAGAGGTAAGAAAACGTGGCTCAATTAAATTACACGCCTTTCAAACCACGGGAACATTATCATTAAGCGTAAGTTAGACTCCCAGCCTTTATAAATCAGAACATCTTCAATAAATTTACACTGGATCCATTCCTATTACTGTCAGAATTCGGTCTTCCATTAACGAAAACCTGTTCAAGAAGATGTGTGAATTTTGATACTGATTTAAATGCGAAACCGACTGAACGCCTCGAATTTAAAACCTCGTCGATAGACGCTGGCATGCTTGATTACTCGATCGCCGTTCGCCCGGAGTTCTCGTTAAGATATAATTTTACTAGCTATCGATCGTTCAGCCGAGAGGAAGAGTATAAAAAGGCCCCGTACGGATTCCTGGTTACAACCACACGGGCATCGTTCGACGTGCGTGCGATGGCCTTAAGCTAGACAGGTGCAAGGACGGAGAAACAGATATTACGACTGTCAAACGGTGACAGGTCCACGGGGAGAGAGTTTGTTTCGACGCTACGGGCTGCGTTGCCTCTTTCGAGTCAACAGGAATGGGATACCCTTAATGGACGAGAGCTATCTCTGATCGTGTCACGTTAGTTCCCTTAATTATACACCTGGGACACGTGTACACCGGCGTGACGCACACCGTCGGCTCCGTACGCCGAGGTCTTTCTCTCCACCGATCCGTGAGAATTTTCTTGCCACTCAGTCTTTTGTCACTTTCTATACGTCTCCGACGTTACGTAATCCCGTCTCGAAGGGATTCGCTAATGTTACAAAATACTGTTCTTTAAAAAGGAACCCCGAAAGTCAAATGGTGTTCTTCGTAGTAAAGTGTACGTAACAAATAAAATCACATAAATACATATATAAAATTATTAAATGTAGAATTGTTATCAACATTTATTTTCTAATCTATTACAAAGCATTAATTAATCGTGCTATTAATGTAGATACTGGAAGCCTCCAGTATTTATAATAACAACGTATTTTTTATTAATAATTCATATTGTAAATAATTAGTAAGCAAGAATTTTCGCCACAATTTCTTTCTGTGAAATAAACATATGTATAATATTTGGGATCTTAAATGCAAAGAAGATGCAGAATAAAGTTGATTTCAAGCGATAAACGAGCAACTCCTTAACACGCAATTAGACTTTATTATAAATGAATACATCTGCCTCTCTTCGAGTGTTGTCGACAACTGCTAAGGTTGAGAACGAGAACGACAACTGTCAGTCTCGTCATCAATTGCCTATCTTCATGAAAGATTGTCTATTTTTCTGGGACCTCATATGTACATGTATAAATTTTCATCCTATTTAAGTGAACACTGCATATTACCTCACAATTATTATGCGAGAGAAACTAAAAATTCAGCGACATTGACCCTCATATTTCCTGACAAAACATAAATTTCCTAATAAGACTCTCAGCCTACATATTATATCCTCGCCAAGCACATCCAAACACATTTTCTTCAATTAGTATGATAATGAAACGAACTCTCTCTCGCAGGAATCCCAGACTCGAAATTTCGCGTCCCAAATGTTTCCAGGTGTCCAGTCATAAATTATTCGCAACGGTTTCGAAGAATCATTCTATCCAAGGAAAGACGTAACTCGCCCAGTGCGGTGGTCCCACGAACGGCGCAGCACCAGTTGAACGCATGCAAATTAGCATTAAAACGTTTTTTCTGTACTGTTTTCTGCACTCGTCGCCTGTTTACCGCGGGGTAATCAAGGCGACAGAGAAGGAGAGAGTTCTGACAACAACAATAGGTGCATTACGTTACTGGTCGTACGTGTGGTATTATGCGCGCCGCGATACTCGCGCGTACACCGCAGCGCGGTGTATTACGATTCGCGGCGTGAACACCGTGGATCGCCTTTGTTGGTCTCGTCTTAAAAATGATCGACGGGGGCCTCCATTTGGACTGGAGAAAATGAAAGCCCGTGCGCGAATGAGAGTGACGGTAAAGGATACGCAGCAAGCGAGACGGTGACCGCAGACCACCCCAAGAAACATTCGCTCTACGCCTGACGGGCCGCCGTATTTATTTATACGTTACCGGCGATAAAACTAGACGAAGAACCGCGTGGGCATCGTTTCGGTATTCCGACGGCGTTTAACAATCCCCGCCTCCGCGATTCGAGACCCGCGTAATATATTCGAGTACGACGGAAAGGAGATAAAGCGGACGCGCGAAGAAGGGAATTTGTTCCAAGGCGAACGACTCCCGCTATCGAAAGCACGCTTCCTCGGAGAAGTCGTACGACCGAGGCTTCGATGCGACGCGACGGTTGCATTATATTACACCCGGCATTATGCAGAGTGCGGCGGGCACGTAAGAATGCCCTCGGCGGACGCGGTATGAATATCAAGTGTCCCTCACTGCCCGGTCGTGGTGGGCACACCCTAAAATTGAACGCGATGGACGATGCCGGAACGAGAAGAAAACGAAAGGCCCCGGTTCGCCGGACGTTTCTCTTTCGTGCGATATTTTTGGTACTCAGCATTGCGTAATCCGTTCGTTTTTATTGTACCCTTTCGGAGAAAAGAGGAAGCCTCGAACGACGTTACGATTGTTGCTTCGGAAACAATCATTGATGGAAGATAGAGTCTTATGTAAGTGAAACTAATTCGTGAGATCGCGATGCACGAATAAATTGTGCCACCCTAAGAATGCCTCACTACTTAAAAATTACATATAGATTTATATATAATTAAAAATTTTAT